AACGAAATGCTAGATAAAAAAATGATAGAATCATTCGATAGTCCTTATAACGCAACAGTCTGGGTGGTGCCTAAAAAATTTGACTCAACAGACAAACGAAAATGGCGAATTGTTATAGATTTTAGAAAACTCAATGAAATTACAGACCAGGACGCTTATCCTCTGCCCGACATAGATACGATTCTGTCTCAACTCGGAAATGCAAAGTTCTTCTCGGCCTTAGATCTTTCATCCGGATTTCATCAAATATCGATGCAAGGAAATTCAAAAAAATATACTGCTTTTTCAACCCCCGAAGGACATTTTCAGTATAATCGAATTCTGTTCGGACTCAAAAATGCCCCAGCGACTTTACTGAAAGGACTAACTGGCAAATATTGTTTCGTATATCTTGACGATATAATCATTTTTGGATAAACAAGATTCAAGAACACAATACTAATCTAGCAATAATACTCCAACGCCTGACAGAACTATTAAAGTTAAAAACTTATAGTTACAATCGGATAAATGTGAACTTTAAAACCTGAACAAAACCACATATTTGGGCCACATTATTAGTAGAGGTGGAGTAAAACTAAATCAGAAAAAAATTGAAGCTGTAAGTAAGAGAATTTAGACTACCCAGGGACCTCAAAGAAATTAAACATTTCTTAGGTCTAGCCGGTTATTACAGACAATTTATTCGAAATTTTGCAAAAATAGCTAAATCATTATCGAAATTAACAAAAAAGGACGAACAGATGGACTGATGAGCAGCAGATAGCTTTTGATACACTCAAACTTTAATTATGTGAGGAACCAGTTCTGAAATGTCCTGACTTTAATCAAAAATTCGTACTAACTACCGACGTAAGTAATGAAGGATTAAGAGCATTATTGTCTCAAGACGAACATCCCTGTTGTTATACATCGCGGACACTTAACGATGCAGAAATACATTATACGACAACTGAAAAAGAAATATTAGCAGTAGTTTGGGCTGTGCAAAGACTAAGACAATATTTGTTAGGACGAAAGTTTAAAATTAGGACAGACCACCAAACATTAAAATGGTTAAATAATGTCAATGTCCATTTTCAAGGCTAATTAGATGGAGACTTAGATTAGAGGAATGGGAATACTAAATAGAGTATCATAAAGGGAAAAATAATCTGGCCGATGACAATAAACATTACACAAGTCACGATACTAATAAATATTACAGAAGATAAAATGATACTGAAAGGGAAGACAATAGACAAATTCCTCGAATTAACAAATAGGACAATAGAATCGAAAGACAATGACGAAACTACGGAACCGAGTAGTTGAATAACCAACTTTGAAGATTATAGGATTTTTAGTCAGGCAAGAGACCTCTCCTAACTTTAAGGAAATAGTGAATCGAGTCAGAATAAAACAAATTAATAGATCAGAAGTAGACTTTTCTAGAGAAATAGAGTTATTGGCAAAATTAGATATAACCAAAATCTACACACAAATAGGAATATCAGATCATATGTTTTCAGAGAATCTTGTAGAAGAAAATCAGTAAAATATTACAGTACTTAGCATTTAAAAACCCAATAGACATTACACATTCTCATGCGAACTAATGATACCAATTGACGAACAAACAAAAGAACAAATATTCAAGGAAAGCCACAATTCAGAATTACAACACTTTGGTGAAAATAAAACCCAGCAAGAATCAAAGAAAAATACTACTGGCCCAACATGAACGACGAGATAAAAGATATGATAAGTAAATGCGAGACTTGCCAACGTGAAAATTTTACGAGAATTAGACACAGAGAACTAGCATTCATCTCTGACACAATTAAAGATCGAAATAACAAAATAGCTATGGATATATACGGACCATTACAAATGACCAGCAAAAGTAATCAATATGTATTATTATATAAGATGTCTTAACCAAATATCTAATCCTTGTACAGCTTCCTAATCAGCAAGTACAAACTATAATATAGAAATCAATGGATTATTATATTTACGTACTTTCCACACCCAGGACGATAATAACTGATCAGGGCGCGAATTTTGTGTCAAAATTGATGATGGAATTTGAAGTAGCTTTTAAGATTAAGCATATTAAAACCACTAGCTTTCACTCACAGAGCAATGGCTCCTTGGAACGTGCATACGCTTTAATAGAAGACTTAATAATGACTTGTACTAAGGACAAGTAGAGAATGGGACGAGATATTGAACCTAGTTTGTTTTGGATATAACACTGCAATGTATGAGTGTATAGGATGTACACCCTTTGAGTTGACC